TGACTGAAAACATGACCACCTGAGGTTGCTCAAGGTCTTCCTAGTTCTGCTTTTAGGAAACAATTACAGCCCACCAATACTGGCAGACAACCTAATGCACAAAACAGAGAAGTTTGGGAAATCTTTCTTCATCAGCCCAGACCACATAATTTTTCTCCTAATCATTGTCATTATAATGATTAGATTTGACTGATTTTAAAAGCAAATATAAAAAAAAAATATAAGATTCAAAATTTTAATTAAAATTATAATGAAAATTAAAAAATTGATATGATAATTTTTTAGTGTTTTAAATTATATATAAAAATTTGATATGATAATTTTTTCATGTTTTATTTATGTTTGATGAACATTAACACAATATTAATATTAGAATATTCAGATCTAATTGTAATGTCTTTGCTGTTAAACAGTTAAATTACATGCATATAAATAAATAAATATATATATGTATATATTTGTATATACTTCTGGTTGGAATCAGTTGATGATAATATATTCAACGGATCAAACTACGTTCAAATATGAAAAAAAGGGGGAACTTCTTTCATTATCCTTGGCATCTTCTCAACACAGAAATTCTACCAAACATTCTTGCTTCTTAATCTTTACAGTAAAGATACAATAGACCTGCACTTTCCGGTAGCCTGTTAAACCTTCGGTCCTTCACGTAGCATTACAATCCAACTTCACCTGCTTTCCGATTTAGAAACGCCAGCACAATCTCATTACACATATAGAGAAAATTCTTATAAACCCCATTAGCCAAAATCATTCCAATGCCTCCAGCTTTTTTCACAACTTCCCCTTTAGCAGCCCTGGAATTCATCCCTCTATCACACAACACAGTTTTGCCTTTCACAAAGTTAGGATCCAAAGAACCTTTCAAACACAAAGAAGAAGAATAACCATCACCGGGGCCAGTCCCAGCATAAACCAACGGGTACATCCGACCTGGAGATAAACCCGGCCCATTATACACACTGACTCCAGGCACAACTTTCCCATTTCCAAGCTTAACATCAGCTGGAAAATCCCTATCGATCGCCCCAGCACCAATCGTAGCCACCCAAGGAGCTATATTGGTAACAGTCAATCCACCAGGACCCCCATTCCCAGCAGAAGCCGACACAAAAATCCCTTTATCAGCAGCACCAAAAGCACCAATCGCAATGGCATCAAGATAATAAGGCACCACAACACCACCAACACTCAACGAAATTATATCAACTCCATCAGCTACGGCGGAATCAAAGGCAGCGAGAATATCAGAGTCATAACAACCAGCACTCGAGCAAACTTTATAAGCAGCAACTCTTGCCTTAGGTGCCATCCCAGCAGCTACTCCTTTAGCATAACCTAATGCAGAAGCTAAAAACACAAATCTTCCAGCGGCAACAGAAGCAGTGTGGGTCCCATGGCCATCTGAATCTCTTGGGGAGCGAAATTCCGAGGTTTCATTCATTTTCCCGTTAGTTGCTCCGTAACCCTTGCAGAAAAACCTCTCTCCTATCAGCTTTTTATTATAGGAACTGGAACCGAAATCTTTTGTCGTAACGCATTGGCCTTTCCATTTAGAAGGAATAGGCCCCAAGTCACGGTCGTTGAAGCCTTGATGCTCGGGTCAAATACCCGTGTCAATGACTCCGATAACAAGGTCGGACCCAAAGTCGGATTCTTTCAAAAGACCAGCGCTGTCGGTGGTAGTGAGGCCTAAGAAGAGAGGAAAGCGCGTGGTCTGCAACCGCTGGACTTGTTCAGGGATGACAGCAATGATGTGGGGAAGTGTTTGGAGCTTGAGGGCTTCAGTCGGGGAAAGCTTACCAGAAAAACCGTGGAAAACGCTGTCGCAGATGTGAAGAACTTGGGTGGGAGTTGAAGGGGAGAGAACAGAGGAAAGGGAAGATTCGTACCAGTGCTTGTGAGAAGTGAAAATCGAAGGATTGGCATCGTTTTGGACTCTAATGAAGGTTTCTGATCCTCCCTGGAAACAGAAGAAGCTAAAGAGAGCAATCACAGAAAGAAGAAAAGAAAGACAACCATTGGGGAAAATGAAAAAAAAACACAAAACAAAGGGAAAGGTTGGAGCTTCGAAGAGAGTGTGTTAATGGAAATGGGATAGCAAATGTGGATCAAAACTTAGAGAGAGATTTGGACTGTGTGGCATCCGGAGCCTGGAATGGGATGCAATGTAATGTATCGTACAAGCTTTTTACGCAAAGCAGTGAATAGAAAGAGAAGAGTATTGTCATAGACCATGGTGGACTTTTTTTTTTATAATATATTTGATAGGGATTAAATACTATTAGTTCTAGTAAATATTGGCCTAGAATAAATTTTAGACTTAAATTATGATGCTTAATTTTAGTTCTATTATGGCATGTTGAAAAATTTTAATAAAAATGAATACTTGAACTTGATAAGTAGAATCTTTAGTTAAAAAAAATTCTCTTCATTTGTTAAATATTTTTGTTGTTTTTAAATTTTTATTTTTGGATGATAAAAAAATTGAAAAGTATGGCAGGTTCATTGGATTAAGATGAGGTTTTAAATAAAAACTTTCAATTTTAAAATAAATTATAATATCAATAAATTAATAATTTATTAATAATTAAAATTTAAATACAGAGAGGCATGAATCAACCATAATGAAAAAAAATTCTCTCCACTATTATCATAAAGAAGAATGTATCAAAAATTAGCTTTGATCCTATGTAATAATAAAACGACTAAAAATAAACTATATTTATCTTATAAAATACAAAATGTTCCATATAAATCCTACCATAATTTCAAGATTTAATTTAATTCATATAAATAAAAAATTTATTTAATACATTAAAAGTGAAAATTTTATTTTGAATTAAGATAGCGCACGTCATACTTTTTTTAAATTAATTTTTTATTTTTTAAATATATATTAAGAAATATGTGTTAACATCTTAATCTCATTTGTGAAGTAAAAAATTCTAATATTAATATATTAAATAATTTCTTATAAATAAAATATAATTATGGACCCTAATGAGGGTAATATATATATTTTTAATTTTTAATTAATTATTAAGTTTTATATTTTAATGTTTATTTAATTAAAAAAATATTATTCATATAAACTCTTTTAAAATTCATACCTTTTTTAAGCGTCAGATTTAATGTATGATGTAGTATGTACTGTTAAATTTGAAACTTAGGATGTTGTTTTATTTTCCTTCCAATGATTAATTAATTAATTGCATTAATTTATTTTAGATTGTAATATTTATTCTGAAAACTCATATGTACACGTGTTGACATCTGGATAGGCTTTGTTAAAATATTGGCTGAGTCAGCGAATATATTTGCACTCCTTATCATTTTTCTATGTACTATTTACGTTTTATTTTCTTTATCTCTTTTTAATTTTTATGCAAATAAAAATATTTTTTTATATATATTTAATATTATAGATTTAATTTTTTATATTATTTATACATTATATTTTTTATTGCCAACATATAATAAATAATTCTTAAATGGCAATCAATATTCATGCTTACATATATAAATATTTCTTTGATTAACTAAATTCCATGGAATTTTTAAGAATGGTTAAAGAAAAACTCAAAAAAAAAAAAAGAAATTTAATATCATCATTGATAAAACTTATTGAATTGATAGATTGTACAGAGGAAATTCACATAATTTTATTTTTTAGTATAAAATAATTAGAGTTTGGTGATAGAAAAATAAATTATAAGCATTAAAACTTAAAATATAAAATTATTAATTATATGACTTAATTAATTAAATTTATAATTTTATTTTCATATCGTTATATATTCCTGCTACATTCGAATTTAAAACCACTCATGCAAGATGGTGGGAAACTCTCCTCTCTGCTCCCTGCAGACGACGCTTTCCATTTCAGATTTTCTAGTTTGAATCCTCTCTCTTTCCCACTGAGAAGCCCACAATGAAAAAGGAGGTCAGATATATTTACTTTGTAGTTAAAAGTTTTGAATCATTGAAGAGAAAAAGTGTGGAGAAGGAGATAGAAAAACAACAAAGATTTACCAGAGATAAAAACAAAAAGGTGGCATGTTTACAATAAGTTTAGTCTTTTAATAAAGGTTTGATGAGGATAATCGAGTTGTAACCATCTTAATTATGTCTTTTTTGTAACAAAAGTCACATTTTGTGATAGAGAAAATGATTAAGAGGGATGATAACAACTCAGGGCACGATAAAAAGTTTTTAATTTAATCTCTTAATATTATCATTCAATTCTGATTTGATATTAAAATATTATTTTTTGTTCGACCCATATATTAATAAATCATAATTAATTTGATCTAAAATTAATATAATATAATATTCATAAAATTATATTTTTAATATAAATTACATTTTAATTATACATAAATATAATATTTTTATTAAGTTAATATCTTAAATTAAAATATTAAATAATAATTTCGAATCAAAGCAAACCCTAAAAGCTTTCATATGATTGACAAATCTTCTTTTGCCATCTCTAAACCCTTTCGAAAGAAGTGTTATTTTAGACCTTTAAAGCACCTTTGAAGGGATAAAAGTTGTATGTAATATTCAAAGAAGGTTCTTGCATCTTCCATGCTTATGGTCGTATTCTTTTCCTTCAATTATTGTCACCTAATCCTTATTATTAACTTTGGCTAAGCACTAGCTTTTGGAAAGTGATGACGAAGTAATAACATATATATTGTACATCTAAGCAAAGGATTAAAGTTGAGTTAATTAATTATCATGCTCTTTCACTGACCAATTTAATCAATCATTAAAAAGAACAAACTTTAATACATTAAAAAATTGGTTAAAGAACAAACTTTTGTTTTACCAGTTCCTTCTTGTTTAATGTATTATGACAATTTCCAATTTGCTATCAGTAGTTCAAGAAGGAAAACAAGCTGACAAAAATATAACCAGAACTTAGACCAGATGGTAACTTCTAAAGCATGTTATTGATGATTGCCTTAAGTTTATCCGCATTGATGAGTTTCATTCCAAAGAGATCCACAACCGTAGCAAAAGTGAATTCCGCACCTGTAAAAACAAAAGATGTGGCATTGATTTGTACTATATATGATCAATTCAAAGACCCAGAATAGCTGTTTTAAATTGTAGGAGGAGAAAATAATGAAACCTGCATGAAATGTGCAAGCAGCCCTCGATCTTTTCCACAAAAATCTTACAGTTGGGACATCTCCTCCACTTACTGTTCTTAGCAAGATCCATCATCATGATATCTTCCTTCGATCTCTCGTCCTTACTCAGATTTTGAAACTCACAGCAAGAAATTCCAGCATGCCATGCGACCTTGCATTTTGCACAAAACAGCTTATGACAATTCGGACACTCTGATTCAACCACATCAGGCCCTCCATCATCCACTAACATGGCAGAGCAATCCTGGAAAGGGCAGTAAAATTTCTGCGACCCGAGAATCAATGATTCACAAAGTGCTTTTTCCCATCGATCAAACACTTCTCCAGGAACAACTGAGCGACAAAATTGTGGTTCTATAACACCTTTACAGTTTAAGTCAGGGCATTTAACCAGTGATATATTTTGCTGTATTTTTGCACCTATATGTTTGCCAATGCAATCTGTGCAGAACAAATGGGTGCACGTATTGCTTATAAACATCTCTCCAATTGCTTTGACCTCCATGCAAATAAGACATAATCGGCCATGAGTTTGAGAATTCGAAGACCCTCCAATTTCTTTCTCTTTTCCTTTATGGGTTTCCCTTGAGTTGAAATGCTGACACGTCTGCGACACTCTCGATCCATTTGGTACTCTAGAAGAGATTGCTGAGGACATTAAAGCCTCTTGCAACTGTAACTCTAATGCATATTTCTCATCTGATATTGGAAACACTTCTTCATCGTCATGCAGGGCTAAGAAATAGAAATCATCAACCAAGTGAAAGTAGTCTGAGTTTGCTACCTCCACCATCTTTTCTACTTTGCTAGAAAATTTTGATTATGGAAATCTTGTACCAAATTTATATTATAAGCCTACATCTAATCTAAGGAAGGTGGACGGTTTTGCCTAATCTTTGCTTGGATTGGATTAATCAGAGACTAATGTTACAGGAAAGATGCACTCTTTCCAATATGAAAATCGATTTCCATGCATTTTCTTCCATTGGGTGAACAAATTGAAGTGGCTTTTTCCAAGAAAACAAGCCCCAGATTGAAATCGTGATGGGATCAATCATTGGGCTTAAATTCTTTTCGACTTCCACTATTTATACAAGCCTAAGAGATAAAAAGATGACTACAGATCAAATGCATTGGATTTGGCTTTAATGCATAGAAAATTCAAGTTCCCAGAGAGATCATCTCGATAACTTTAGCCTTTATCCCTAAAAAATATAATTGATATCTTAACTGCAGTTAAATTTAAGAATGTATTTGTCACATATATACTTTAACACGTCAAAATTTAAATTAATTAATTAAAACTGTCTAACCATTTTATCTCTGTTTTGCTTTTTTGTCTCATCACTAACTATTTATTTGTAGTTTTGTTTTTCTTTTTTATTCTATTTTAATGAAAGGGCATAAAGGAATTACACCAATTTGTATAGAAAATCAATACTTAATTCATTTGTCAATAAATCATTGAGAGCAAATTAAGTTTAGCTTACATAATTTTATGATTTAGTCAGAAATACGTCAATATATACCAACAGATCTGTTCGGCTCAAATGAGAAAAAGAGTGTACTCTTTTCTTGATTGTTTGGGTTTAAATTTGTTGAGAGATTATGAAAACATAATTTTTCATGAATTCTTTAGATTATTTAGATAAACCTATTTGGACAGATCTAAAAAAAATTATAATACATAAAACTTAAAAATCTTTTACCACTCAACCAAAAAATAAAAAAAAATAAATCTTTCATTATCCTAATCACATTTCAAAAACAGAAAAGAATTATTTATTCCCGAGTTGAACTGGTAATTTTCTCAATTTGCTTTAGTCAATATTGGTTTAAGAAATTTCCATCATAAAATGCCTATTCTTGGTGTGAAATCATTGATATTAGAACACTTTTCATGTAGAATTCAAGAGATTAATGTTCAACAATATTAAAAACCATAAGAAGGAATCAATTGAAATGGCACTAATTGAGAGAAATGACAAGCTACATTTGCCATTAATGAAAGTGATGACTCTTAACTACTAAGGAACATGCCAATATAGCATCATCTTTTAGACTTTAACCAATTTCCATTATGCAGGCATAGGAACCTCAAAACACTCAAGAATCCATAAACTTTCTTCCCTTATAGACATTTTATGTCAAAATCAAAGCATATTGATAGTGCAAAAAGGTCAAATATCTAGTGGAATAGCCCTTTCAAAACATTGTTAATGCTGCATCCACAAAGACACACCGGCCATTATCGGCTTTTATTGTTGTAGACAAAAACAAAGGTTAGTGGCGGGCAAGAATAAAAAGGGATTCTTATCTTAGAAAATTTGAAGTTATTGACGTTATTTTATATTTGTTAAATTTTGAGATTTTTGTGATTTTATATTGAAATTAACTCATTTAATCAATTGATTTTAAGTTAAATATTTAATATGATATCAAAATTTAGATTTTATTATGTTGTTTTTGCCTGTTAATTTTGCTTGTTAATTATTTTAAGTTCTATCTTTGTCTATACGTGATGAGATTTATTAAATTGATATTATTCTATATCTATTAAATTTTAATTTTTTTGTAGTCTTATATTCTTGGGTTAATATCATAAATAGTGTCTAAATTATAATAAAATATTTAATGTGATTTTAAACTTTAAAATTTTCAAATGTAATATTTCAATTATAAATCTGTTAATTAATATGATACTTATTTCTAATGTGATTGGTTTTAAATGATTATATGTATCGGATAAATAGTCTTTAAAGTACAATATTAATTAACAAATTTATATTTTAATATCAAATTAAAAAATTTTAAAATTCAGATATTACATTGAATATTTCATAATAGTTTAAAACCCATTCATGATATTGATATTATATTATAGTTGAAAGCTTCTACTTATAGTTAATTAATTTTAGGTTGAATATTTAACGAAGACTTACAATTATATTTATCCTTTAATGCCGTCTATAGCCATATTTAAAAAAAAAAAAAATCCAAGCTACTCACTTATTTCACTTTACGTCATTAATCAATTATCTTCCAGCTCCTCATCTCAAAATATTAGAAAAAAAAAAGGAATAAATGTTGTATGATCAATATTTTTCTTCTCTTTTTATAAAGAAGAAATGATCTACATCCTAACTAAAACCAATTAAGTACACCCCTTTGCTCAAATCTCTAATTAGTTATCAATATATATATATATATATATATATATATGAACTTAGGAATTATGAGACTATTGCCCAATGCTTTTGGTTTTGATGAGGGATTTATTTCTCCAGCGTAGATCCTGTAGGAGGATGCGGGTTTCTCGTCGGCCGGAGGAGCTACAATGCCTGGAAGATGCTAGCATTTGTTTGGTAGACAGTTCAAATTCCCTCATTTCGTCCAAAACAATTTGCCTGTCCCTGCACTCTACGCTGCAAAAGCCTTGGTCACCCCTGAATTCACGTAATTTTTATCAGAATTTAGCTTGCAAAGTTCACACTTTGCTTAAACAGACAGAAGCACAGACCAAGATCTTAATCCTTTCTATATTTGTTCTGAAGGCCCTCAAAAATTTTGGAAATCCCCAAAAAAAAAACTATAGCAAAAAATATACAATATAGTATGAAATTATTTGTTACCTGTACATGTAAACTTCTTTATCTAGGCTTAAGTTCTTGTGGCATAGATGACATGATTTGAGAAAGCAAGAGTGATCAACAGGCGGTGACCGGCCCGAACTGCCATGACGATGCTTTCTAGTGGCGGGCAGGCTAATTTTCAAGGCTGGTTTAACAATAATATTAGATTTTCCTTGTGAAATTTGTGTAAGGATTCTCAACCCAACAACAACTGATGATGAGCACTTGCTAGAGCTTGCATAAGTTGGCTTGTTCTTGCCTTCCTCACTGCCTTCTTCCGGCTTGATAGGGCTCCTAAGTTTCAGAAGCATGGCTGTTTATTGAACAATAAACAAAAAGAGGGAGGAAAATTGATGGGAAGAGAGATTTCGGAAGTGAAGGAGTGATGGATGTTTAAAAGCAATTTTTTTTTACCCAAAATGGAATCTTGGTTAAAAATGTAGGGACGTGTTTAATTTTTTCATATGTTAAAATATAATTTTGGTGCTATGTTCTTTTTTTTTTTTTTTTTTTCAAAGTGATTATCAATCAGAGAAATTGAGAATTTTTTCAGTCTTTTTCTTAATTGGACATTTGGCCCACCAAGAACGAAAAGACCTTTTGGGCATTTTTCATTCTAAACCATCCACTTTTGCCAAACATGAGAAACATGTTCAAATAAATAATGTAGTTCCTTTATTTATTTGTTTGTTTATTTTACAATTGATCTTTTTGGGGCATTTGATCATTTTCAATAATCCATGACTTCCTAACTTCTCAGCATGGATAAGTTACTCTTTTAATAAAAAAAAAATAAAATATGTTAACGGGTAATTCATCCTTTTTCTTTTAATCACGTGAAAATGAATATTAGAAAGTTATAATTTGAATTATGATTTATTGATAAAATATTAAAATTTTAATTTAAAATCTAAAATTTAATCTTAAATTATTGATATATATATTTATTTATTGCGTTTTTAACTATTGTTTCTTAATCCTAATTACTATTGCATTTTGATTTTTGAAAAAAGGTTTGCTATTTGCATCTCAATTTTTTTTCAATGCATTTTATTATTATTAACATCCAATACACATCTCAAATTCAAAACACAAACTTACTAAAAACTCAAATACCCCATCTCCTCACATGATGTCTCCTTTCTCTATCTCTTCAAACCAAAAACCTTAAAAACCTTAAAGGATTAAGTGACAAATCAAGCCTCACTCACCCATTTGACGTTAGATAATTAAGAATAAGAGATAAATCGTTTGTTCTTTCTACTTTTTCATTTGATTTCGTATTTGGTTTTGTAAAATTTAAGATTTTAAATTTTGAAATGCGATTCTAACATTTCGAAAATGAATTTCAAGAAATTATTGGAGGTTTTCAAAAATTGATGTCCAGAATCGTTTAAGAACTTTTGGAAATTTATTTTCAGAATCCCTTATAGGCTTCCTTACTTTTGAAAACCTTTAGAAACATCCGAAAATAAATTTTTTGAATTTCTTAATGGTTTTCAAACATCCATTTTTGAAAGTTCTTAAAAGTTTTCAAAAATAGATTTTTGGTACATTGAAGATGTTTGTGGAAGCCATTGCTCCTGGCACAAAAACTTGGCACTCTAAGAAATATTGACCCTAATAATATCATCAGTAGACTGGCAAATCCGACAGTAGGAGCCTCTAATCTTTTATCCACTTTATTGAATAGACAGTATCTTACTGAAAGATTAGATGTCTTTATTGTCAGATTTTAATAGCTTATGTCTTAAAAAAATTGTTAGAAATCCGTTTGGAGATTCAAGCGAAGAAAATTCGATATTCCCATGCTAGACACTGATCAAGAGAATAAAATCTACTTTCTTGTACCTAATGCAACAAAGAAATTGAAGTAAAAACTTACTTCAAAAAATGTATTTTTGAATAATTGTATTGCTTTCTGTTACATTGAAACGTTTTCAAAATTGAATTTTTGGTACATTGAAAAAGTTTTCAAAAATGAATTTTTGATTGAAAAAGTTTTCGAAAATGAATTTTTAGCAACTTTTGCTCAATTTTGGAAATCAATTTCTAGTGAATAATTGTTTTTCTGAAAATGAATTTCCAAAACTTATTGGGAAGAAGAAAGTGGTGTGAAGGATAAAAGGGTAATTGACTAATATGCATTTAAGAATTTCATTAATGGTTAATTTAATAATAATAAAAATTTGAGGTGCATTCAGTAGTTTTTTAGAATGAAATAAAAGTAATTTTTTTTTTAAATTAGAAGTTTGATTAATTAAAGAAAAGCATAATAGACCCTTTGTCTTAATAATAATAAAAAATAAAGAGATTTTGAGAGTTTATTCCAATTTTACTATGAAATTTTTTTGGTTACATATTGGTTTATTTGTAAGTAATTGTTAATATGTTGATAAATATTGTATTAATTTGATTCATTATATTTATAATTTATTCTTAGCATTCAAAGATATTAAATAAAAACATTAAAATGGGACCTCATGCTATAAACTAATAGTATATTATACTTACATATTTTAGCATTCAAAAAATTATAAAATTTTGGAAAACAAAATTTATAAAATTATTTTTAGTTGTACATATACTAAAAAAGGTATTATGAATTGTCAATGCCAACTAAAAAAAAAAAGTTTTTGAGCATGGTTCATGGACCTCTGCTAGGTTTTTTTTTTCTTGGTCACTGTCCACACACACATGTATATTTATTGTTATAATGTATTGGTTTGGAGACTTAATCGCTAGATGTAATAATCAAAAGTTGCTATCAATTTTTTTTTCTTGAGATGTGATCAGTCACTATTCACATCTTTTGGTCTACAAATTTGAAGTTGGGTTTAAGAATATGATTATGCATAAAGAAAGTTATAACATCTTCACAGCTCTCGTTCAAAGACGGTACCGATTAATCTTATAAAATCCTAACAATGGTTTTATTTGATAGTCTTACTTAATATTTATTATTATTATTATTATTTTAATTCTTTTTATTTTTATTATTTGAATATTAAAAATTTTTTAAATTATTTTTGACACTTTCAGCATAACTTAAGAAATTTTTTAATTTTAAAAGCATTCAAAGAAATCACTTATTTCCTTCCAAAGGGCTCCGTCATCAAATTCATTTTAATATTTTCAAAGTAAATCATAATTCTTTTTATACCAACATTTTTGTTATGAGTCTAAAAATATTGGAGGAGAATCACAACTTGTGACTTTCTCTTAATTTTATTATCGATGAGAATTTATTTTACTTTGAAACGTTTGTTTATTGTTTATATTATTATTAAGGCAAGTAAGAATTTTGTTGGTCAAATTTCCAAGATATTTCTAATGCTTTTGGAATTGTAGACACTCAATCTGTTCGGGGTCTACTTTTTGATTAATTAAAAAAATAAAAATGAAAAAATAAAAAAAGTGTGGTTGAATTGGTGTAAAACTGGGTTAAAGAGTTTGAGACGGATTAGAAGAGGTTGAATAAAACTAAAGTTTAGAGGAAATTGGGGTTTTTATTCAGCTTTGGAGTCTGTGGTTTTAAAGTCCTATAAATAGACCCACAGATTAGGAGGAGACAACACGAAAATACAAAAAAACATAAGCAAAAAAAAAGTGTTTAGAAGGTGCAGAAACAGTTTTAAAATTTTAGGAAAATTTTAATGATTTTTTTAGTTTTTTTTTTTTGGAAATTTTTTGAAAATATTCCAGATTCTAATCAAGTTTTTGACACTGTTTAAAATTTTTGGCGTATTTTTCTAGTTTTTGACGTATTTTCTCAATTTTTAATAGAACATTCAACCGGATTTTGATATTTTTAGAGAGAGGAAAAGAGAAAATAGGGGAAAAGAGAGAATGAGGAAGAAAACTCTGGTGAAAAAAAACCAATTTCAACCTTTTATACCCCTACAAAACGACGTCATTTTAGCATTAAGAAACCTCTGGGATCCATGCATTCTTATTCTAACCAACCCGACTTGAGCGTAACCCACTTTTGGCCGACTCGTGTTTCAGCCAGCCCTCATCCAAGTCGAGCCAAGCCACATTCCCTGAGCCATGCCTCCAAGCTGATCTCTGTGCTTATAACCGAGCTGAGCTTTGTGCTTGTAGTTGAGCCAGATTCTAGCCCCGAGCTGAGCCGTTCTTTGGTTTATTTTATTTATTTATTTAATGTGTTTATTTATTTTTAGTATTTTTTGCATGATTAAATTCAAAAAAATTAATAATAAAAAATAAAAAAATAAATTTTAAGAATAAATATTAATTATCCAATGATGAAATTTATAAAAATTTTAATGGTAAATTTCTATAAAATTCTTAGGTGAAAAATTTTATTTAAATTTCTCTCAAATAGTAGAATAATTTAGATAAAGTTTTAATAATAGTAAAAATTAATATTTATTTTCAAACAAAAAAATATAAATATAAAAAAATTTGAAATTAAATACAAATTACCCAATGATGAAATTATTAAAAATTTCAAATAGTAAATTTTTTAAGAAATCTCTATGTGAGAAATTTTCTCTAAATTTGATCTAAATAGTGAAATAATTTAGATAAAATTTTAATACAAGTAATTGTATTCTTTTTCAAATAAAAAATTTGGGTTTAAAATATTTGATAATTACCTAATGATGAGATTCTTAGAAATTTTAAATGATAAATTTTTAAGAAATCTCTAGTTGAGAAATTTTCTCTAAATTTGTCCAAAATGGTGGAATAATTTAGATGAAATTTTAATAAAAATAATTGTCATATTATTTTCTTTCCAAAAAAAAAAGAAAATTTCTAAATGGGCCCAAATGGTGAAAATTTTAGAAATTTCGAAAAAAAAATATTTCTAAATTGACCCAAATGGTGAAAAATTTAGAAATAAAAAAATAATAAAAAAGATTTCTAAATGGCCCAAATGGTGAAAAATTTAGAAATTCAAAAAAGAAAAATATTTTTAATTTGGCCCAAAGGGTAGAATAATTAGATATATTTTCAATAAAAAATCTAAAAAATAATAAAATAATAAAAATTAAGCATTTTTTCAATGAAGGAGCCTCTTCAAGGAAACAAATGGAATCCTTGAATACTCTTGAAGAGAGAAAATATTTTTAAGAGTTCTACTAGATTGATAGAGAGTCTTATAAATTATTTTTAATATTTAAACATATAAAACCATTAGAACTAAGATCATAGAATAAATTTAAAATAAAATGGTACCATCCTTTGAATGAGCATGTGGGGGTGCTATAACCTTTTCCACATGTAACTGAACTCCTTAATGCTATTTTGCTTTGTAGACCTGAACCTATTTTTTTAAGGATCCTTAGTCAAGCTTAAGATCTCTTTGGAAGAATAGATTCCT